CTTTAGTCTCATTGCATGTCCAAATTTTAGCGCCCCCCCCCCCCCCCCCTCTCCCGGGAAAAAAAAAAAGTGGGGGGAAAAAGTGCTTGGAGCTCCCAATTTCAGCCCGCGAAAGTCTCCCGACTCATTGCTATTCTTGGGCTCAGGAAATTGCTTAAACGCGATCTGATTGCCAGCAACGTGCAGGAGAAGTGGGGGGTCCGGGTGTCAGTTTCTTTACGTGCAGGGCTCGCCCTCGCGCGCGCTCGCTCTCTCCGGCTCCCTCCCTCCCGCTCTGTTCCAGCAGAGGCTGGGAGTTGCCGCTCGATTCGGCTCCCCTTCTCTCCCTTTTTAGCATTTATTGCCTTCTTTTTGTCCTTTCCAACTTGGAGAGGGCCCGGGTGTGGAGCGCGCGTGGATCGGACGCCTTGGTCTGCGCGGCCCTATTCATTCGCTCCCCGGGCAGCCGCGGCGCGGAGAGAGAGGGCGGCCCTTTTTTCCCCCATTTTTTTAATACCCCATTAAGTCTGATTGACAGTTAAAGTTGTTGGGAGGCTTCACTACCGTTCCTCTGAGTGGCTGCTGCGGCCTCCCCTCCCCCTGCGCCGTCGCGGGGCGCGCGCATAGGCGCGCACTCGGGCTCGCCGGGACTGGCGCTCTCCCGGGACTGGCTCCCCTGTCTGCAAGCCGGGACTTGCCGCGGGTGTCCCTGAGGGCTAGCAGCTGTAACTCGAACACGCTGGAACCGACTCCTGCGAGCCGGCTGCCTTCCCGAGACATTCCTCCTTGCCCGGGCTGCCCGCGGGCCAGGTGACCACCCCTGCGTGTGGAGCAGGCCTGGGGGAGCCTGCGCATGCCTTGATCCAACCAGGTCGCCCAGGGTCTTATTTCAGGTCATTTGGTCATCCCCTGCCTCCAGGTAGGCTCCGGAAGCCACTTCTCACCTTTGCCCGGACCTCTTCTGTCTTCGCTTAGAGTGGACCTTTAAAAACCTGACCCCAGTCCCTCATGTTGCTTGCGGGGAAGCCGCTGGGGAACCGGCCTTTGCTTTGAGGGGAGGGGGTAGTCAGGGTAAAGGAACCTCTGCTCCGGGTGCCAATAAAATCCCCATAAGATTAGCTGGGAGCATATTTATTGCTCATCTGAGCTAGAATTACCTTGACTGACAGCAATTTCCTTAATAACCAACGCCTGTAAACAAAACGGCCTCTACCTGCGCCCCTGCGCTGTGCGGGCAGCGTCTCCTGTTCTTGGGTCTCCCTGGACTGCCCTGGCGGGGCACCCACCTTCTAACCTCATGCCCTCCCCGACCGGAATGTCTCCCTTGCTGGAGGGTGGGACCGAGCTGCTATTTAGAGTTGTCTGTTGCAGGAAGTCTGGGAGGTGAGTCACTAAAAAGCAGCCCCAGTTCAAAGTGCTGATGGGACTTGCCTCCCGCCCCCTGCACGCTCCCGGGGCCGGAGGAGCGAGAGCGAAGCCGGGAGCTGCCCTGTAATCTGGGGCAGCCGTTTCCAGCCCGCGACTTGTTCAGACGGCGATTCCTGGGCCTCACCCCGGAGATTCTGATTCAGCAGGGCTGGGTGCGCTGGGATCGGCGCTTTTACTGCTGCGCCTGGGTGAGAAAGTCACTTCGAAAAACGCTGATCTGCGGGGAGGGGAGGCTGGGATTGCCTCGTCACCTGCAAAGACCTAGATGGGGGAGAGATTCTGCAGGTGAGGATCTTCCTTCTGGGTGAATTGGGTAAGGCCACTGGAAGAGCAAAAGGCTGGAGAAGCTTAGGATGAGAAACTGTCCTGCCCTGAAGGCCTGGATTTGGACACTTAGTCCTTCCCGTGACCTTGTCATGGGGGTACTATTACCCCATCTTCCAGGTTACCCAGCCAGGAAGTGCAGGAGGGAGGAAACCCAATCCCGACCTCTTCCCACGCTGACCAGACGGGAGAAGTGGAGGATGGAGCTCAGCTAAGGGTTGCAGAGACTCCCCACCGCCTCCAAGAGTCTGACCCAAGGGCGGACCACTGTCCCCATCTGACCCCAGGGCAGGACTCCATTGTGGTGACGGCCTCCTCCTATCTTCGAGGTCTGTAAAGATGGGAAAGAGAGTCCAGCCTGGGAGTGACAGGCCTTTCCCACCCAGAAGCGGCTGGTGTCCGCCAGGCCTGCGAAGAATCCTGGAAAGGTCTGAAGACAGAACCAGGCAGCAAAAGCGGGCTTTGCTCATCCGTTGTCCTCGGAGCCGCCTAGTGGCCCAGATCGGACACTGCACCTCCAAGCTGCCCAGCCTCCAGCCTCCCGGCGCTCCTGCTAACTACCTGTGCTTTTCTTCCAGGCATTTCTCTCCTGTAAGGTTAACACCCCAAGTCGAAAAGGGCTAATGAAGATCAGATCGGAGTCCTCCACCCCCGCCCCCCGACATACTTTTATGGCTGGGGAAACTAAACCCAAAAGATATTAAGCAACTCATATACAGAGATGTGTGTTCACCCCAACTAGCCCACCCTGGACAGATGCCGGACCAGCTGGGTAACCCCTAAATCCTGCTTACATATCTCCAGTTTTGTGCCTTGGAGGGAGGGCAGACAGTGGGTGGGAAGAAGGTCGAGAACTCAAATTGACCTTTCCTGCCTCAAGCCCTTGACACAGTTTCTGATTTAATTTCCTTAACAGCCTGGGGAGGCAGGCGTCAAAGCGGCCATTTATTTATCCCAGGAGGAAACAGGCTGGTCAATCTAGGTAACTTGTGCAAGGCCATACAACCCACTTCCCAAAAGGCTTGGGATGAAATCAGAGGGAAATAGAACATGTCAGCCATTCCCAAAAGGAACTGACAGTTCCAGAAGCTGGCCTGAGGTGGACAGTGGCCTTTTTTTCTACTTGGTCCATCTTGAGGATGTGGTTTTTGTGGGCCTGGAGGCTCTTCGGGCCACAGAGGCCTCTCAGCATCAATTGCTCGGAGAGGAGCCGTCACCTCCTCTATTGCCCTCCTCCCTGGGAAGATGGGTCCAAGGAGGCCGTGTGCGTGTGTGTGTGTGCGCGCGCGTGCATGCACAGTTCAGCAGGCTGGCCCTGAGGTTCACTGTGGCCTGGCTTCAGTGAGAACAACATGGGACACATCCTCCCTGCCTTTCCCTCCCTCCCCCAGGTGCCCCCTCCTGGAATTTAACTCAGGGCAAAGTTTGAAATTTCATATCCCAGGCCCGTCCCTGAAAATGTGAAAGGAGCCTTTCCGGGCTTAAGGGAAGAGGTGAGCTGCAGTCGGGAGAAATTTTTTCACAGCTCAGCCGCCTCAGTGTAACAAGGTTCCACACTCACCCTGCGATTCCAGCACCAGAAGCCTGTTAGAAATGCAGAATTCGGGCTGTTGTGGTAGCTCACATCTGTAATCCCAGCACTTTGGGAGGCTGAGGCAGGTGGATCACCTGAGGCCAGGAGTTCAAGAACAACAGCCTGGGCAACATGGTGAAATCCGGTTTCTACAGAAAAATTCAGAAATTAGCCCAGTACAGTGAGGTGCACCTGTAATCCCAGCTACTAGGGAGGCTGAGGCAGGGGAATCGCTTGAACCCAGGAGGTGGAGGTTGCAGTGGGCTAAGATCACACTGCTGCACTCCAGCCTGGGTGACGGGAATGAAACCCAGTCTCAAAAAAAGAAAGAAAACAAAAAAGAAATGCAGAATCTGGCTGGGTGATCACAAGGTCAGGAGTTCAAGACCAGCCTGGCCAACATGGTGAAACCCCATCTCTACTAAAAATACAAAAACTAGCTGGGCATGGGGGTGCGTGCCTGTAACCCCAGCTACTTGGGAGGCTGAGGCAGGAGAATTGCTTGAACCCAGGAGGCAGAGGTTGCAGTGAGCTGAGATCGTGCCACTGCACTCCAGCCTGGACCACAGATTGCGACTCTGTCTCAAAAAAGAAAAGAGGCCGGGTGTGGTGGCTCACACCTGTAATCCAAGCACTTTGGAGGCCAAGGGGTAGATCACCTGAGGTCGGGAGTTCAAGACCAGCCTGACTAACATGGTGAAACCCCGTCTTTAAAAAAAAAAAAAGGAAAAAGAAAGAAAAGAAATGCAGAATCTCAGGCCCCACCCTGGCCCTCCTGAATCGGGCTCTGCATTTTACTGAACACGATGCCCAGATGTTCCTTTGCCCACTGCAGTTTGAAAAGCATGGAGGCTGAGTCCTGCGTGCCAGGAGGAGGACTTTGGGTTTCATCTGCAGTGCGATGGGGGGCCTTTGGGCGGGGGATGTGGGACAGAGGGCAGATGCGATAGAATCTCTGTTTTTGGAGCCTGCTCTGGCTGCTGGGTCCAGGATAGCTCTGGGAACTGAGCGGATGTGGGGAGAACAGTGAGGAGGCCATTGGAACTCAGGCCAGGGATGGCCATGGGCTACCAGTTCATGATGGGTGGACAGTGACACCTGGACCTCTGCTGCCATGAGCCCTCAGCTCAGGGACATTGGGGTGAGGATGGGGCCCCTTCTTTCCTCTCCCCTCCCAAGGGACTGCAGTCATGGGAGCCAAATCCCAGCTCAGCTCACTGCTGAGCTACTCTGCCCCGCTTCTTACCCTTCCTCCAGCTCTTGAGCAGGATTTTAATACCAACAATTTGGTGTGATTGACACCCACAAATGCATGTGCACACACAGACACACATGGACTCACACACGTACATGGCTTTATGGGACGATCGCCTACTTTCCCCTGAGCAGAACAAGCTGGCAGTGTTCAGCCAGGGAGATCTGGAAAACCTCCTGGTCTGGTGGAAAACAGTGTTCCCCAAAGTTTAACATCAGCTGCTCTGGAGGGGCTCTTCACGGAGACGGGTTCCTGGGAAAATGAGTGTATGTGATGGCCAACGGGGAGGCTTGCCTGGCCAGAGGCAACAGAGAGGAAAAAACAGGCGTCAGGTGAGTGGA